GATAGATAGATAGATAGATAGATAGATAGATAGATAGATGGATATTGTTAAAAAAGAAGACACTGAAAAAAAAAAGATGAGAATGTAGCTCAGTAGAAAAATACTCACCTAGCAAATGTGAGACCCAGAATGTAATCTTTAGCACTGAAAAAAAAGAAGAATGAATAAATGAATGAACCAGGCACTGGTGGCCCCCACCTGTAATCCCAGCACTCAGGAGGCAGTGGCAGCTGGTTCTGTGTGAGTTCAAGGCCAGCCTGGTCTACAAAGTGAGTCCAGGACAGCCAAGGCTATACAGAGAAACCCTGTCTGGAAAAAAGAATTTGAAAGAGAGAGAAGAAAAAGTCAGTCATGGTATCACACACCTTTAATCTCAGCCCTGGAGAGACAGAGGCAGGCCTCTGTGGGTTCTAGGCCAGCCTGGTCTACAAAGAGTTTCAGGCCAGCCAGTGCTACACAGAGAAACCCTGTCTTAGAAAAAAGTCTTTCAAAGTTAAAATTAGATATTTAATGTTAAACGTTTTCTGGGCTAAGGGTGTCTTGGGTTCACTCCCCAGGATCACATAAACAGGGCATAGTATCAGGAACATGTAATCCTGCATTCAGAAGTTAGAAGCCAGCCTTGGATACATGAGACTTTGTCTCAGAAAAGCAAAACGCCATACATAGGCTTCCAGTCCACAAGTCCAGAGAGAAGGCGCCCACACTTAGTAGCCTCTGAGTAGTTGTCTGGCTCCATAGAGTGAACAGCTGTAGAAAATGACTGGCCCTCGAGTGCACACATATTTGCTGGATATACTTCTATAAATTTCCAAATGTAGGTACCACTTGTTTAGAAAGAACAGAGCTGCTTTATACTGTGTTAGTAAGATGTCAGTACTAAATGGTCAGCCCTGAAAACGTAAACATACAAAGAACGTTATACAGATTGAGCAGGTTGTGTTTGTATATCTACAGATATATATACATATCTAGCAACAAAGAAAAACAGGCCATGAACCTGAAAGAGAAAAGGCATAGGACATGGGAGGAGCACATGGGAAAACATGGAGGGAGAAAAGGGGAGGGTGACATGATGTGTTCACACCATGTTCTCCGAAACTTTAAGTTTGAAATGTATCAGTAGGCCAGGCACAGTAGCACACCCCTTCAGTCCCAGCGCCTGGGAGACAGAGGCAGGTAGATCTCTGTGAGTTCAAAAGCCAGCCAGGGTTACACAGAAAGACCCTAAAAAATTAAAATATAACTTCTTACTGTTATTTTTCTAATACTTTGCTCAATTTCTTCGTATAGTTGCCCTTGGACCAGAAAGAAGAAAGTCTGACTCAGGAGTTGCGTTACCCACCCTCAGGGTCTCCCTTATTCAAGACATGAGGTATTTGTTACACATGCTCGCAAATGATGGCTTTGAAATGTAGCTCACACCTAACTTGTAAATTAATTATAGTTACACCTTTTGTTTATATATTCTGAAAAATCATTTTCATAATTTTAAATGTTTTTATTTTTTATTTACCTTATGAGTATTCGTTTTGACCTGCATCTACACGGGTAAACCATATGCATGGCTGGTGCCCACAGACGTCAGACAAGGAAGCTGGATCTTTTAGCTCCAGAGTTAGAGATGGTTGTTAATCACACGTTCGCACTGAGAGCAGAGCCTGGGTCTCCCACAAGAGCAGCAGTGACTCCAGTCCAGGGTTAATTGTTACTGTTGTGCAGTTTTGTTTTCTTTCTTCTGGCATTAAATAAAAAGGGAGATGTGTCGGGGGAAAGTTTTCTAAAACAGCTCCAAACGATACCTTCTCCTGTCATCTTTATACGTAGACTCCAAAAAGCTGTAAGTAACCACAGGCGGCTTGGCAGGAAAAATCAGTCTTAGAAAGAAACAGAATGTTTTGTTTGTTCTTCTAGACAGGATTTCTCTGTGTAGCCCTGGCTGTTCTGAACTCCCTGTGTAGACCAGGCTGGCTTCAGACTCAAAGATTCACCTGCCTCTGCCTCCAGAGTGCTGGGCTTAAAGGTGTGCTCCACCACCATCACCACCACCACCACCTGGCAACATAGAGCTAAAAAAACACAAATATTCAAATGAGCATTTTCTAGCCAGGCAGTGGAGGCAGAGGCAGGTCAATATCTATGAGTTCGAGGGTAGCCTACTCTACAGAGTGATTTCAGAACAGCTAGGGCTAAAAGAGAGAAACCCTGTCTCAAAAAGTAAGTAAATAAATAAATAATAGCATTTCCTGACAGGCAGTGGTGGCTCACTCCTTTAGTTCCAGTCCTTAGGAGGCAGAGGCAGGTGGCTCTCTTGAGTGCAAGGCCAGCCTGGTCTACAGATCAAGTCTTGAAAAAAACAAAACAAAAATTGAATGAAAAAGGTTAGGTCCTGGTGTATGTGTTTGTGTGATAGCCACACTAACGAAGACTTTCCACTCAAGTTAGTTTTTACCATTTATCTGGTCTTCTTTTTCTGATCTCCCTTTTCTCTGTTAGAAGGAAGATGGTTTAAGAAAATAAATTCAGCGCTGCTGAGTCCAGCAGCAACTTGCACAGTGACCACTACTTTATACATGTATGTGAGATTCAGTCGATAAGACTTATCAACACATTACCAGGTGTGGTGGCACACACCTTCACTCCTAGCAGGTGGATCTATGACTTCTAGGCCAGTCTGGTCTACATGGCAAGTTCTAAGATAGCCAGGACTACACAGATAGACCCTGTCTCAAAAGTAGATAAGTAAATCAACACAGTACAGCTAGGCTTCTCTAATGCTGTGCAAAGTAACTAAAGACACTCCGTGAGTTAGAACCTGAGGGGCTGGACCCCCGTTAGGTTCCCAGCACTCACGATAGGGCGGCCTACTATGTCTGTGACTGCAGGTAATTTAACACTATTTTCTGTGCTCTGTGAACACCTGTTCCATGTGCAAATACACACCCTCCACCTCCAGACACACAGAATTAAATCTTCAAACAAAACTTGACTGTCAGATTATTTTACTTTTATTTTCTTGTCTGTTCTGGAACCCTAAAGACCCGCCTGCCTCTGCCTCCTGAGTGCTGGGATTGCAAGCACATACCACCGTGCCCGTGTAACGCCATTTCTTATGTGCGAATATCTCTGCACATCAGATAAATCTCTGAAGCTTTAACTTTCCCTCAAAATGTGATTCACACCCTTAATCCCAGTACGCAAGGGGCAGAGACAGACAGATGTCTAAATTCAAGGCCAGCCTGATCTACAAAGAGATTCCAGGCCAGGTCAGGCTATACAGAGAAACTGTCTCAAAAATGAAACAAACAAAAATATATATCGTGGCCTGTGCCTTTAATCCCAACTCTTGGGAGGCTGAGGCAGATGGATCTGTAAAAGGAACTTTATTCTCCTACTTCAGTTGTTGTCTTAGAGGGTTACTCCCTCCTTCTGCGAGCCTAGGCCTAGTCCTGGATGCTTCCAGCCTTCATACAATCTAATCTAGACCTAGAATGTTTCCAGCCTCTGAGACTCACTCCTGAGTAAGCTCACCCTTTCTGGTTCTTTCTGAACTCTGGCTGGCTGGTTCAACTCAGCTGTTCTGGTTCAAACTCCTCTCCTAGCTGATTTATTCAATCTGGCTTCTCTCTTGGCATCTGAATTGCTTTGCTTGGCCTCAAACTGATTCCAGCAATCTTTTCGAATTTCCTGGCTCCTTCTCATTCTCTGGATCATTTTGTCTTCACCTGAGTTCTCTCTCTCTGCAACCAGTCTCTCCATTACTGTCCTGTAAAACTGCCTCCTCTCTCTACATAACCTCTTAAGTAGCCTCCCTTTCCTCTCTCTTCCCATGAGAGTTGGGTGTATCCTATTCCATCAAATTTTTCTCTGATTTATCACTGTTTCTGCCACTCAATTAGACATCACTGTTAAACATGGGTGCTTCCTTCTACAAGCTAACTTTACCTGCCTTGTTTGAGATTAAAGGTGTGTACCACTACACTGGACCTAAGTTTTTCTTTACCTAAAACTTGCTGTATATCTTGAACTCAGATCTGCTTGTCTCCTGGATTAAAGGCATGTCTGTATTCCAGCTGGATCACACAGATCTAAAGGTCTTTGGATGTGATCTCTTGCCAGAGTAGCCATGTTCTGCATTAAAATTCTTCTACATGGATCTGTGAGTTTGAGGTCAACCTGGTCTATATGATGAATTCCAGGCCACCCAGGACTACACAGTGAGACTCTGCCTTAAAAATACAACAACAACAAAATGTGTATTATTCATTTCTTCATCTAAATCTAGAAGAGCCTTTCTGGGGCCAGGGTTAGTGATTTTTAGCTCTTTTCTAGCTAAAGGTTAGCCTTACACAGTCTCTCCTTCCATGCCTGGGGCTGCAGAGCATCGCAAGCACATCCTTGCTATTTTCGTAGTTACTGGACTGTTTTATTTGTGAAACATGAATCTACATAGAGGCGCGGCTGCTCTCCTAGACGACAGTTAAGGTGGTGTGGGCCCATATGTAGCTCTCCTTAAGGACAATTTAGGAAGAGAAAGTGTTAAAACTGTGCAATTACTCCTTTCACCATAACTGGCTATTGCTCGTCATCCATACAACACCAGGACTTAAGACAAATGGGACTGATATCATGGTGAGATTATTTTAACTATGATATTTGAAATGGATACATTGTTTTAAGAAAAAAAAAAAAACATTTAATATAGATAATCTAAAACAAGATGTATTTAAATGCAAAGAAAATGTCTCTCTTGTTGGTACTGACTTTTAGGCATGTTCAGAACATGAGTGAGATCAAGACTGATGTTGGGCGAGCTCGGGCTTGGATCAGGCTGTCTTTAGAAAAGAAGCTTTTGTCCCAGCATCTCAAGCAGCTGCTCTCCAACCAACTACTGACCAAGTAAGGCGCTACCTTTCAGGACATTTGTCTCTGGCTTGTGCATGCAGTAGATTGCAGGAGTATTTTCATCATGAGCCCTGGCTCATGAACACACGCATTCTTGTTGAATAATAGGTGTCTGCTTCAGAAACTACCTTTGTAGAATGTTTGAGAAAATATATGCTAACTAGTCCACATAAGCTGACAGTAACATCCAAAAGATAGGTTGAACTTATATTAGCTTCATAGTATAAAACTCATAGCAAGGGGGGCTGGAGAGACAGCTCAGAGGTTAGGAGCACTGGCTGTTCTTCTAAAGGTTCTGAGTTCAATTCCCAGCAACCATATGGTAGCTCACAACCATCTATAGTGAGCTCAGGTGTCCTCTCCTGGCATGTAGACGCAAATGCAGTTAGAATACTGTATAACTAATAAACTAATAAATCATTTAAAAAAATAAAGAGAAACCCTGTGTTGAAATACAAATTTATATATTATATATATCCTGGACAGCGGTGGCACAAGTGTGTGAGACCCTATCTCCAGAAAAAAAAAAAAAAAAAAAAAAAAAAAAAATTTGTTTTCAAGACAGGGTTTCTCTGGGTAGTCCTGGCTGTCCTGGAACTTGCTATGTAGACCAGACCAGCCTCAAATCATGGAGATCCACCTGCCTCTGCCTCCTGAGTGCTGGGATTAAAGACATGAGCCACTGAGCCCCACAAGAAATTTTTTTAAATGACAGGAACTTTAGAATTTACCTGAGGGGCTGGAGACATGGCGCAGCAGTTAAAAGCCCTGACTGCTCATCCAGAGGACCCAGGTTCAATTCCTAGCACCCACATGGCAGCTCACAACTGTCTGTAACTCTAACAGACATACATGCAGGCAGAACACCAATGTACATAAAAATGAAAATAAATAAATTATTTTAAAAAATTTATTTGAGAGCTACGAAGTTGTCATTCTCAAGAGCAAAGGCTTGCAAAGAAGCTTAGACATGGCCTTCCGGTCGGGGCTATCGTGGTGACCAGTACTGCTTGTATTATTACATTTACGTACTTCACCTTGGAGCTTTTTAGAATGAATCTTTTGGGGTTTTGTTTTGTTTGAGATGTAGCCCTGGGTGTCCTGGAACTCCCTTTGATCAGGCAGGCATCACACTCACAAAGATAAGCCCACCTCAGCCTCCTGAGTCCTGGAACCAAAGGCATGTGCCACATACCAAGCTTAGAATGAGTATTAATTTCCCAAGTGTAGATTGGATTAAGCGAAGCCTAGCATAGGGGAAACTGTGGCGCCTGGTAGAATGGCTGCCAGCACACATGGAGTCGTTTGTTTGCTCCCTAGCATTGATGAAATGGGCATGATGGCACCGACCTGTAACCCCAGCGCTCTAAAGGTGTAGACAGGACCAGGAGTTCAGCCAATCCTTGTCTGTAAAGCAAGTTTGAGGCCAGCTACATAATTAGTTAAAATGAAATAAGAATGGAGGCTGAGGAGATAGCAGCAAAATGCCTGCTGTGTAAGCGTGCACACCCAAGTTCAGACTCAGCCCTTCATGGAGAGACAGCCAAATGCAGTAGTCCAAGCCCATAGTCCCAGCACCGGGGAGGCGGGCCAGGCCATGGTCATTGACCAGCTGCTGTAACGGAGGCAAAGTAAAGTAGGAGGGGCTGGAGGGATGCTCGGCACCTGTGAGCGCCGCTGCTCTTCTGGCAGACCTGGGTTTGATTCCCAGCACCCCCATGGTGAAGTGCTCGTGTGTTTATGTGTGTACACACATCAGTGTGTCTGTGTACCACCTGTGTCGAGTGCCACAAGAGGCCATGAGGGAATGAATGCTCAACACCCTGGGACTGGACTTAGACTTGTGAACTGCCATGGTTGTGCTAGGAAACAAATCTGTGTCTTCTGGAAAAGCTGCCAGTGCTCTGAACCACTGAGCCATCTCTCTGCCCCAGGTTTGCAGGGGAGGAGGGTTTTTTGTTTGTTTTGTTTGAGTGATTTTTAGTTTATTGTTTTCCTTAAGTGCATGTATACAAGAGCCAGAGTGGAAATCAGAGAACCACTTGTGCATGTTCTGTTATCTCCTTCCCCCTTGAGGGTCTCAGGGATTTATTAATTAAGCTCAGTGGAGTTGGCAGCAAGTGTCTTTACCTCCTGAACCAACTGGTTCAGAGGTATTAATTTATAATCATTATTTTTAAGGATGAAAATCATGGGGTTGGGGGTTTAGCTCAGTAATAGACCACTTGCATAGCAAGGCCCAGGGTTCAGTCCTCAGCTCCAGACCCCCAAAAAGAATGAAAATCTTAACTAAGCGGGGCTTGCTGGTACACGCCTGTAATCCCAGCTCTCAGGGAGGCAGAGGCAGGCAGATCTCTGTGAGTTTGAGGACAGCCTGGTCTAGAAATTGAGTCCACGCTACACAGAGAAACCCTGTCTCCAAAAAAAGAAAGAAAGTCATAACTATTATTTTGTGCTTCTTTTAACCCTTTTCAGGAAACTTTATAAGCGCTATGCTTTCCTGCGCTGTGAAGAAGAACGAGAGCAGTTTCTTTACCATCTGCTTTCCCTCAATGCTGTGGACTATTTCTGCTTTACCAGTGTGTTTACCACGATCAGTAAGTGTGGAGAATTGACTTTTACGTGACCAGTTTCTAGTGAGCAGGCATGGTGGCAATACCTAGAAAACTGGAACAAGAAAATTGTCCCTTCAAGCCCAAAAGTGTGTGGGCTTGACCCTTTCTCAAAAAACAAAAAATTGGCTTGGGGTGAGGGGCTCTCGTCACCCTTGGAATAAAAGTAAGGCATATCACAGCCCATGGAGGACACTGATGAGCCTGCAGTCTCTGTCTGGGAAGGTAGGCTCCCTGGCTGCTGGAGCACTGAGCACAGCCCTTAGCTGCCGCCTGGGCCGGTGCCTCAGCCTGCATCCTGGCCACAGCCGCTGGGCCAGGGGAAGGCTTTATGGAGACGTAAGCAAAACTCCGCATTCTCCTTGCCAGTCTCACTCCCTTTCACGGTCGATCCTAGGAACGAGCACCGTGCGTGTTCATTTCTGGCTCAGCATCTGCATCAGCATCAGCATCCAGAAATCCCAGTCTGGCAGAAAAAGTTACGTAGGACAAACGTGAAAGACAGAGCTGCAGCCCCTGCTTAAAAAAAGCATGATTTCTCTAAAATCTCAGTAAACATTGTGGTCATTTTGCCAGCTAGAATTATGAAGGCTTTGATTTCTGGTCTCTGATAGACACAGATAAGGAAAAGGGGAGTTGGAATTAATAGGGCCAACTTAAAATGGCTAATGTCTAATAAGTGATAACCTAATAATTTCTAGTTCATTCAGTTATTACATGGATAAGAGTCTAAGTTGTTAGAGGAAGAACTATACCCTCATGTGTAGTTCATTTGCCTATTATGTGTGAAGCAATGCATTCAATCCCCAAACTGTTTGGTTTTTGTTTTGTTTTTAAGATTTATTTGTTATTTATACAGTGTTCTGCCTGCATGTGTGCTTGCAGGCCAGAAAGAGAGCTCCAGATCTCATGCTAGATGGCTGTGAGCCACCACATCGCTGCTAGGGATTGAACTCTTTGAAAGAACAGCCAGTACTCTTAACCCCTGAGACATCTCTCCAGGCCTCCCACACACACACACACACACACACCCAGCACTGTTTTAAAAGTCTAGCTGGGTGCAGTGGTGCACACCTCTAATCTCAGCACTTGGGAGGCAGAGGCAGGTGGATCTCTGTGAGTTCTAGCCAGCCTGGGCTACAAAGCAAGTTCAGGACAGCCAGGGCTACACAGAGACCCTGTCTTGAAAAGCAAGACAAACGGAAAATCTGAAGACTGGGCATATAGTTCCTGTAATTCCTGATGAGCCAAAAAGATAAAAAAAATTCAGGGCTGGCCTGGGCTACACAGGAAGTTCTCTCTCAAAAGAAAGGAGGGAAGGCCCAGCAAGATAGTGTAGGTAAGGGCACTTGGCCAGAGTCTGGCAGCCTGAGTTCAGCTTCCAGCGCACAAAGAGAACTGATTCCCAAAAGTTGTCCTGTGAGCTCTAGACATTCACCAAAGGACATATGCAGGCATGTACATACACACACATGCACACAAATAAATACTTGAAGTTTGAAAAGAAAAGAAAGGTCGCTTAAGGTGGCTAAAAACATGGTCACCCTCAGCTATTTTCAAGGCTAGATGGGATACATAAATCAAGTCTTATAGCAAAAACAGAAAGGACTACCAAGATGTCTCAGCAGAAAAAGACACTTTCCGCATAATCCATGACCTGAATTCCATCCCTGGAACCCACGGAAAGGTGGAAAGAAAACCAGTTGTGAGAATTGTTTTCCAACCTACACATGAGCTGTGACACACATGTACCAGCACTCACATCACAGGCACAGTAAGACTCTCTGAAAATATTCTTGTGTCTGTATCTTTCTCTTTTTCTGGGAAACTTTCAGTTTGAGGCATTGGAATATACAAAGAAATACTCAGTTGTCCTGGTTTCCTCTCGTGCTGGGGTAACACCATGACCAAAAGCAAACTAAGAGAGGAGAGTTTATTCCAGCGTAAAGGTCACAGTCTACCAGTGCAGGGAGTCAGGGCTAGAGACTCAGACAAGTGCTTCAAGCGGAGACCTCGGAGGAACGCTGACTTGGGCTTGTGTGCCAGGACATGAGAACCTGGTTAACTTCAACTGGCAACTTAAGAGCCTAGAATGGAGTCTCAGTTGAGGAATTACCAGATTGCATTAGCCTGTAGTAACGTCTGGGGTATTTTCTTTTTTTCTTGATTTCAGCCTATTGTTGGCAGCACCATTCCCTGCACACGTGGTCCAGGGCTGTATAAGGAAGCTAGCTAAACATGACCTGAGCGAACCATCAGTCAGCAGTGTTCTTACTAGGCTCCTGTTGTAAATTCCGAATTTCCTCCTTGTTTCACATTTGAGTCAAGGTCTTGGGAGGATGGTGACATCTAGTGGTGAGCCTTTTGAAGAAAAAAAAAAAAAGGCTTTATGTAGGTCTCTGTAAGTCTGACTCGCAGATTTCCTTGGACACGAGTTACCTCAAATACCTAATCCTAGGGTTCTGTGGGAGTTGGTTTTCTCTTTCCACCACGTGGTTCTAGGGCTTGAACTCGGGTTGTCAGGCTTGGCAACAAATAATCTTTAACCTCCGAGCCACCTCACCTGGCCCTCATGAGTATATCTTAAAAATTGGCCAGGCAGTGGAGGTGATGGCACATACCTTTAATACCAGCAGAGGCAGGCATATATTTGTGCATTCAAGGCCAGCCTGATCTACAGAGGAAGTTCAGGACAGCCAGGGCTACCCAGAGAAATCCTGTCTCGAAAAAAAAAAGAGAAAAAAAAAACAAGGGCTAGAGAGATGGCTCAGAGGTTAAGAGCACTGCTTGCTCTTTCAGAGGTCACAACTTCAATTCCCAGCAACCACATGGTGGCTCATAACCATCTATAATGAAATCCAGTGCCCTCTTCTGGCATTCAGGTGTACATGCAGGCATAACGTTGTATACATAATAAATAAATAAATCTTTAAAAAACAAACAAAAAAAGATTATACAGGCTGTGGCCCATGCCTGTAATCCCAGCACTCAGGGAGGCAGAGGCAAGTGAATCTCTGTGAGTTGGAAGCCAGCCTGGTCTACAAAGTGATTCCAGGACAGCCGAGGCTACACAGAAAAGCCCTGTCTCAAAAAAAAAAAGGGCCTAGAGAGATGGCTCAGAGGCTAAGAACACTTGTTTTGTTGAGGAACCAGAACTGGGTTCATTTCCTCAGTGGCTAATAACTCCAGTACTATAACTCCAGGTCCAGGGGATCTGATTCTCTCCTTTGACCTCTGAGGCCACTAGACACAAGCAAAACATTCATACACATAAAAGTAAATAAATACAAAAGCAAAATATATCTTTAAAGCATCTAGTTTGGATAATTGTGATTTTTAATTCACTTCTGTGTTTTTCTTTCAGTGATTCCTTATAGATCAGTGATCATTCCAATAAAAAAGCTGAGCAATGCAATGATTACATCAAACCCGTGGATCTGTGTTTCAGGAGAGCTGGGTGACACCGGGGTAATGCAGATTCCAAAAAACCTGCTTGAGATGACTTTCGAGGTTTGTCCGCTAACACCGTGTTGAGTTCTGCAGAGGGACTCTGCTTTTGTTCTTCCATTCTCTTAAACAAATTAAATAAAGGAATATGCAGACATACAGGGTCATTTTGTTATCATATGCTTTTAATTGTCTAAAGCAGCTTACGTGAGTTTGCTTTATATTTTCGTTGTTAAGCCCTATTTTTCTGCCTGATTTACCAGATCCTGTTCCTTGATTCCCAGTACCTACCACAGAACATGGCAAACAGAAAATGTTTTTTAAAAAAAATGCTTTCGCTAAAGTGGTCCTTAGGACCAGAAAGTTGACGTCCATGTTTATGGCATTTGAAGCATATAGTTGCATTAGAGAATGGTTTTGTTTGGTTTTCCAGACAGGGTTTCTCTGTGTAGCTCTGGCTGTCCTGAACTTGCTCTGTAGACCAGGTTGGGCTTGAACTCAGAGATCCACCTGCCTCTGCCTCCTGAGTGCTGGGATTAAAGGCCTGGCTCCTGTAGATATAATTTTTTGTATTGTCAGTTTTGGGGTCTCATCTAGTAGAGTATTTCCCTATGTTTGAATCCATATTCAGGTTGGTACTGATATGCCAGAATAAGGCAGATAACACTGTTTCAGGAGATAATCTCTGTTCTCATTCATGTTCCTGGGGTGTAGCACTAGCCATTTACACTTGGAATCAAACTGCTCCCGCAATGGTCCATTTGGCTTTCTATGTGTGGTAGACTCACATCTATCTATCGGTAAAAGCCTTGTCTTTTCTTGGCCTACCAGTTATGGAACAGAAACTACATTTAAGTCCCATCTTCTTTCTCTCTCTCTTTGTGGCATCCCCCCTCAGCTGGGTCACATGATGCCTTTCATTGATAACACAAAAAAGACAAGTGCTTTTACAGCCTGTAATTCTGATGTTTCAGTCCAGCATAGAGTAAGCCTGTGATCATTTGTTTGTTTAGTTTTGGTTTTGGTTTGGTTTAGTTTTTTGAGATAGTGTTTCTCTGTGTAGCCTTGGCTGTCTGGAGCTTGTTCTGTAGACCAGGCTGGCCTCAAATTCACAAAGATTCCCCTGTCTCTGCCTCCCAAGAGCACCACCACCACCCAGCGCTTTATCAGATTTTTAAGTGAGAATTTAATTAGCATCCATTTTTGCAATTTCTGTTACCATTGCTTTGTTTTGTACTTGTGCACAGAGGGCCAGCAAGGACATTGATTAACCATAGTGTACTTATCATTTCACTTTCTGCAGTTTTGGTACCTGGCGTTAATTGTGATCCAAAAACATTAAGGGGAAATTTCCAAAAAAAATGTCATAGAAGCTGAGCTTGGTGCTATATTCTTACAACCTTGGCACTTGGAAAGCAGACACAGGAATGTCAGAAGTTCAAGGCCATCCTCAGCCACATAACAGGTTTGAGACCAGCCTGGGTTACATGAGTTTATGTCTCAAAAGACAAAAAAATGAAATAAGCCAGGCATGATAGCACATGCCTGACATCCTAGCATTCAGGAGACAGAAGCAGAACTGCTGCAAGTTCAAGGCCGTCCTGAGCTATGTAAAGAAACTATCTCAAAAAAACAAAAATTAGTTTTTAAAGATGGGAATTGTTTAAACATTATTGGGTTTTGTTACACAAAGAAACAAACCCAGGGTCTTACACATGGTTAGCAAGCATTCTGCCATTGAGCCACACCCTCAGAACACAATTTTCTAAGTTTTTTTGTGCACCATTATGAATAGCATAATGGAATCTGTAGTGTCCCTGTGCCAGCCAGAATCCCGTCTTTGTCTGGCACATCTGTGCTGAATGTGCTGCCCTCCCAGTAGTGACTTAGAAGGTATGGCAGTGGCTTGTGTTTATGTAGCCTTTGTTTGACTTACTCACGCTCCACAGCATAAGCGTAGTGGTGCAGAGAAGGATCCATGGCAAACTCTGACGTGTGGCAATTTTGCAAAGCGTGTAGGAAGAATGCCATGAATGTAGGTTTGCACATACGAGGAGCCTTAGAGAAGATCTGTACAAACAGCTTCTAAAACTTCTCTAGTAGATCAAGGCCTTGAAAGTGCTAGACAGGCGCTTATGGCACAAGTCATCATCAGGGGCTCTGATTCTGGATTCCCCAAATAGAAGTGTCCCTTCTCCAGCGTTCTTGTAGCTACCGTACATCCGCCATCTCATTGTATGAAGAAGGTTCCCCAAGAGCAAAGACTACATGGATACTGTCCACTTACTAAACTTAACATATTGTAGGTCTCTGTAAGTATTAGATGGAGCCAATGTCCACTGCTAAAGCTGAACGGGATAGAAAAGAATTGCATAGGAGAGTAATTTGTGGTCCTGTCTCTGCAGTGCCCGAACCTGGGAAAGCTCACTACAGTTCAGATTGGCCATGATAACTCTGGACTGTTAGCTAAATGGCTAGTGGATTGTGTCATGGTCAGAAATGAAATCACAGGACACACATATAGGTGAGTAAATGGATTTGGGAGCGAAATTCTTTGTTTTAAAGTTCTTTAGATAAGAAAACTTTTAGAATTTTCTCCCTAAAGCTTTCCCACTGCCTCCTGAGCTAGCTTTTATGTTGGGGAGTATATTGTTCTGTTCTGTTTATACAACATACAGTCGGACGGTGTGGATGTTCCACCTTAAATCCCAGAACTCAGGAGGCAGAGAGAGGCAGATCTCGGTGAGTCTGAGGCTAGCCTGGTCTGCAAAGCTAGTTCGAGAACAGCCAGAGCTACACATACAGAATGAGGAGCAGGAGGAGGAGGAAGAGGAGAATGGTAGCAAAAATTCTTTTTGAACAGACAGATTGAGGCTGGAGAGATGGCTCAGCAATTAAGAGCACTTGCTATTCTTCCAGATGACCCAAGTTCAGATCTCAGATTACACCTCACTTAGCTCACAGCTGCCTGGAACTGCGTCTCCAGGGATACAGTTCCTTCTACGGGCTGCCATGTGTGCTCAGTGCATCTGCATGCTTCTGCACACAGTTTGCACACACAGATGCACACATGCACAGACATATACACACACAAGTAAGAAAAGGTATTTAATCTTTGATTAAAAACAACAAAACAAAAACAAAAAACCATCCTGTTTAGTCCAGAGAAATGGCTGATGGTTAAGGGAACTGGATGCTCCCAGGTCCCAGCACCCACATAACAGCTCACAATCGACTGTAACTCCAGTTCCAGAGATCCTGTATTCTCTATAGGCATGGCCATACCCATGGCACACAGATGTGCATGCAGACAAACACTCAGACACATCAACTAACATATATATGTATATACTTTTTTATTTATTTATTTATTAGTTTGAGCATATGTTTAAAGCCAGGCGAGGTGGTGCATGCCTATAATCCCAGCAGAAGGCAGAAGCAGGTGGATCTCTGTGAGTTTGAGACCAGCCTGGTCTACAAAGAGTCCAGGACTTCCAGGGCTACACAGAGAAATTATGCCTTGTAAAACCAAAAAGAGAGCCAGCCGGGTGCGGTGGCATACAACTGTGACCCCTGTGCTCAGGGAGTCAGAGGCAGTCGGATCTCTGTGAGTTCAAGGCCAGCCTGGTCTACGAAGCAGGTCCAGGACAGCCCAGGCTACACAGAGAAACACTGTCTCAACAAACAAAACAAAATGTAGATTCACAGGATCTCAGGAGACCAAAAGGTAAGTTCACAACAAGAAAAGTAGATTCAAAAGATTTCAGATGAAAAGAGTTTTTCTTCCCCTATTAGGTTCCCTTGTGGGCGGTGGCTTGGGAAAGGCATTGATGATGGCAGCTTGGAGAGAATTCTTATTGGAGAATTGATGACACCAGCTTCAGATGAAGACCTGGGAAAGCAGTGTCGGACTCCACCACAGCAGAAATCTCCCACGACAACCAGGAGACTGAGTATTACCTCACTAACAGGAAAGAGCACCAGTGAGTTGTTTCCAGTGTGCTGCGGCGGTACAGGCTCTGAGGCCCATTTTTCAGAAAACAGTGGGGTTAGTGAATTATGCCAAGAAGATTAAAAAAGAGGGGCTGGGAAGATGGCTCAGAAGGTAGAGTGCTTTTTCCCCAAGCATAAGGATTCCCAGTACCCAAGGGAAAAGCTTCAGGCTTGCATCTGTAAGCCCAGTGCTGGGAGGGCTGGGCAGGGGTGGAGACACAACTCAGGGACCAGCCAGCTCAGGCCAATTAATGAACGCCAGGTTCAGTGAGAGACCCTGTCTCCAGAGCTGGGAGGGATAAGGGACTGGAGAGGTGGCTCAGCAGGAAAGAGCACAGCTTGTTTTTCCAGAGAACCCGAATTCCATTCCTACCACCTCCGTCAGGCGGCTTACAACCACCTGGAACTCCAGCCTAGAGGGACGAAACCTCTGCGGCAGAGCTCTCATATGTACATACCTGACCCCAGCTGTGTATGTGCACATAGCTAGAGTAATGCAATAAAACTTGAAAAGCAAGACTCGAGGGCTTGTCTAGAGAGAAAACATGAGTAAGGAAGCTGGCTCCGCTGGTAACGCGCTTGCTGCACAGGCCTGAGGACCGGAGGCTGGGCTCCAGCACCCATGCACAGCCTCACTTCAGAGTCAGGCGGTTTCCCAAAGCTGAGACGCGGCCAGTAGATGAGCTGTGGTCAGGAAGAGACCTGGCTCAAAAATAAGGTGGAGCCTGTTAGAGGAGGGCACCCAGCACCTTCAGGTGTGCATGAGAGTGTGCACGCATACATAGGTGCGTCCACATCCACCGTGCGGGGCATGGTGGTGCACGCCTATAATTCCAGCTCTTGGGGATGCAGGGGCAGGCAGATCACTGTGCTCAAAGCAAGTCTGCGAGAGCCAAGGCTACACAGAGAAATTCTGTCTCGAAAAACCAAAAGAAAGGAAAGAAACAAAGACAGAGAGAGAGAGAGAGAGAAACAGAGTGAGTGCACACATATCCTCTCGTTCTACCTTTTACTTTTGAGAGTCTCACTATGGCTGGCTGGCCTGGCACTCACTATGTAGACCAGGCTGGCCTTGAGCTTACGGAGATCTACCTGCTTCTGCCTCTGAAGTGCTAGGATTAAAAGTGTGTCCTGCCATGCCTGGCCTAAGAAACTATCACACACTTTTATACTTTGTGTAAAAGGACAGCTGTGTGTGCTGTGTGTTCTAATCAGTTTCCCTGAGCCAGGGCCTCACTCTGTACCTCATGTGGCCTGAAACTTAGCACATAGACCAGGCTGTCCTTGAACTCCCAGAGGTCTGCCTACCTTTGCCTCTGCCTTCCAAGGGCAAGTATTAAACATACGCAGTACCACACCCAGCACACACACACACACACACACACACACACACACACACACACACACACCATTTTTCTCTTATTACCTATTTCTGCTTCTGACTCTAGATAAAGTTTACTTGCTTTTTAAAAAACATTTATTTATTTACTTATTTATTTTGGTTTTTTGAAACAGGATTTCTCTATGTAACAAAGCCCTGACTTTTTTTGGACAATTTGTAGACCAGGCTGGCCTGGAGCTCACAGAGATCCCGCCCAGCATGCTTTTTCTTTTCTTTCTTATTTTATTTTAAAACTATAATTAGGGTTGGGACTGTCTTTGTTACTGTATACTCTACTGCCATGACAAAACACCATGACCTAAGCAACTTATAGAAAAAAAAAACATTTAATCCAAACGGTGGTGACTCATGTATTTAATCCCAGCACTCAGGAGGCAGAGGCATAAGGAATTCTGAGTTCAAAGCAGCCAGGTCTACAGAGCAAGTTCCAGGACAACCAGGACTACACAGAAAAACCCTGTCTTGAAAAATCAAACAAGAAAAAGCATTTAACTGGGGCCTTGCTTGGTTTCAGAGGGTTAGTCCGTGATCATCATGATGGTAGCAGGCAGGCATGGCACCGGGTAGCAGCTAAGAGCTCACATCTGATCCACAAGTTGGAGACAGAAAGAAAGCCATTGGGCCTGGCATGGGCTTTTGAAATCTCAAAGCTCCTGAGGCTGGAGAGACGCCTCAGCGGTTAAGAGCACTGGCTATTCTACCAAAGGTCCTGAGTTCAAAACCCAGCACCTACATGGTGGCTCTCAACCATGTATAACCGTAGTCCCACAGGATCTGATGCCCTGTTCTGATTACAGATGTGCATGCAGAGAAAATTTACACACGTATGTACATACATACATGCATGCATGCATACATACATGCATCTTTCACACCTCAAAGCCCTTCCTCAGTGTCACACATTCTCCAACAAGGCCACACATCCTGGTCCTTCATAAACAGTTCACAAACTGGGAAGTAGAAATTCTAGTTGATGAGCTCATGGAGGCCATCTTAACTCAAACCACCACGTGGATGTGCCTCTTGGTGGACTTACCTGGCAAAAAGGAAGTTTGCAGTTCAGCTGTCAGCTGGACATAAAGCAGGCATAGTGGCTCGTGTTCATAATTCTGCTGTTTAAGATGTCGGAATGGTAGGATCAGAAGTGCAAAGCACTTCTCAAATGCACAGTGCAGTGCCAGCTGGGACTTCGAAGGGCCCTAAAATAAACAAACTAGTCCTAGTATGTGGTGGGCAAGGTGACCTTGTCTGAAGTTACTTTTCTTTTGCTGTGATGAAAATGCCACGACCAAGGGAAATTCTAAAAGAAAGCATTTAACTTGGGGTTGATAGTTTCAGTGGGTGTGTCTTTCTGGCAGGAATCATGGCAGCAGGCAGGCACGGTTCTGAAGCAGTAGATGAAAGCTTACACCTTGAAACCTCAAACCCCACCCCGAATAACACACCTCTTCCAACAAGGCCATACTTCTAATCCCTCCCAAACAGTTCCGCCAGGTGGGGACCAAGCACTGAAGTATATGAGCCCTTGGGGCTCACTCTCATTCAGACCACTGCCGTGATTCAGGTCAGGAAGGGAAGGAGGCCTGACTTCAGGCCCAGGCACAATATGGTGTCTATATCGCCTTTTTTCTTTAATTACAACAGAGAACATCACACAGGTCTCTGACAGCCTCAGATCCTTAGCAGGGAACTTGGAGTTTCTTCCCAGTTCACTCCTCACGTCTGGAGTGTTGGCACTTCCTGATAGGAACCCTGCCAGGAGATGGCACCGAGTATCTTGTTCAGTTTTCTCAGAGAGGAGTGCTTTGTTTTTGTTTTCTTTCTCCATTATTTTCAGTTGAGAAAAGCCGGAGGGAATTAGAGCCTTGGCTTGGGTTGTAGTTTGCAGTAGAGTGGTTGGGATTTGAGTCTCGGGTTCTCCTGGGTATTTTCCAGTACATCACAAGCCCTTGGACTTGGCCTGTTTGTCCAGTGGCAAACCCCATGGAATCTCTGGAAAAGGCAGCTTGCTTGGATGAAGTATTTTCTGCAGAGACTTACAGTTGAATACCCCATAGTATTTTGGTTTATTTATCTTACACTGTTAATTATTTTGCAGAACCCAATGCTGGACAGATCCAGGAAGGGATTGGAGAAGCTGTGAACAACATTGTGAAGCATTTTCACAAACCTGAAAAAGAGGTATTATGGGCAATAAAACCATGTGATGGGACTTTTTGTGTTGTTGTTTTTGTTGTTTTGTTTTGTTTTGTTTGAGTCAGGGTTTGTCTTTGTCTTCCTGGCTGTCCTGGAACTTGCTCTGTAGACCAGGCTGGCCTTGAACTCACAGCGATCCACCTGCCTCTGCCTCCCATGTGTTGGGATTAAAAGTGTATACCACCACAGCTGGGCTCATTTATAACCTTTCTAGTGACTACAAAAACAGTCTGTTCAGCTATCTTCAGGTCTCATTTCTCGGTGTGGTTATTTGGGACGAGGTGGAGGGTTAGGTTACTTTGTTTCATATGGTGTTTGCCTGCATGTATGTCTGTGCAGCCATAGGTGTGCCTGGTCCTGGAAAGCTAGAAGAGAGTGTTGGAGCCCTTGGAACTACAGTTAAGGGAGGTTGTGAGCCGTGGTGTGAGTACTGGGAACTGAACCCAGGTCCTCTGGAGGAATAGCCAGTGCTCCTTACCACTGAGCCGTATTTCCAGCCCCTGTAGTGTTTTTTAAGCATAGAAGCAACAGAATTCTCTTGTCTCTGTGTTAACATTGTGCTCTACAGAGAGGAAGCCTCACAGTGCTGCTGTGTGGAGAAAATGGCCTGGTTGCTGCACTTGAACAAGTTTTTCATCATGGGTTCAAGTCTGCCCGCATCTTTCACAAGAATGTCTTCATCTGGGACTTCGTAGGTAAATTAAGTAGATGCATGATATTATAACATGACTGAAATGTTTCTTTAAAAACTCAGAAAGCCAACATTTTGAATGAATAAAGTGATAATAAGCAATGAGGCGCACCTGTGATCCCAGCACTCAGGAGGTGGAGGCAGATGGATCTCTGAGTTTGCGGCCAGCCTGGGCTACAGCCAGGACCAGCATGGCTGCACAGAGAAACCCTGTCTCAAAAAACAAACAAACAAAAAGAGTAGTACTAAGCTAACATGTTTTGAACTAATGAGGGCTCAACAGATAAAGTACTGAGACTGAGCCTTGGAGCCTGCCAGGTGAAGGAGAGAACTGATTCCTACAAGTTCCCCTCACACAGCCACACATGAAATACATAGTAAAGAAATTAGATAGGGGTCCAGAGTGAGGGCACATTAGTTAAGAGCACTTGGGGCTCTTCCAGAGGACCTGGGTTCAGTTCCCAGCACCAACATGACAACACACAACTCTCATTAACTCTCTCTAGAGGATCTGATACACTTTGCTGGCATCTGAAGTGCTGCCCTCCCACGGTACACACACACACACACACACACACACATACACATACACGTAAAATAAAGGCAAAACTCCCATACACATAAAATAAAAAGCATGCTAAATTTTGTGATTTTTAAGTATATGAAATTCTAGAACTCCTAGTTTCTTTACAGTTTCAGTGAATCATTTTGTGTTTGTAAATTGAATTCAGAACTTTCAAGCAAAGGAAGTTGACAAGGCACCTAAGAGTGATTTTCTCCCTTTCTGGAAAGCTTGCATGTTACTGCTTCTAACTGATGTCTACATACTGATGTCTCTTCTCAGATTTCCTCCATAAGGTCCATTTCAATATACTAATAATGTTGTTGAAGGCTATTCCAGAAGAGGGCACTGTCTTCAGATGGTCGTTGTTTCCGTATTCCTGAAAGGCACTGTTACAAGAGACATCTCCTTTCCTTTCTTCCTCCCTTTCTTTGCTCTCTTCTTTTTCTTTCCTCTTTCTTTTTTTTATGCCAATTTCTATTTCATGAAGGTATTTAAGAAGAATAAACTTTCCAACCTTCTGAATGTGGTCTTGATTAGAATACAAACTTCCAGGCTTGGTGGCACTGCCTTTAATCCCAGCAACAGGGAGCATATTGCTCTGTCATGAACCACAGATCTCTGTAATTCATCTGAAATAAGTGATAAAGTCAGGGTTTGGGTTAGAGGCTTCATCAGCGTTTCCAGGCTGAGCTGAAGGGTGATTTTACTACGTATGAAGTTTTGACGTTTCTGTGTGAGCTGCTGTACTGATGAGTCTGCTTGTCTTCCTCAGAGAAAGCAGTGGCTTATTTTGAAACCACTGACCAGATTTTAGACAACGAAGCTGATGTGCTCGTTCAGAAATCATCCTGCAAAACCTTCTGCCACTATGTGAATGCTATTAATACTGCACCCAGGAACATTGGGAAGGACGGCAAATTCCAGATTCTAGTTTGCCTTGGAACAAGGTACCTAGTCAAAGTTATGCTTTACTATATGTGTTACATTCACAGCATGCGTCTAGAAAAGGTTACACCAGATTCTGACTTTTCTCTTAGGTTTCTTTATTCCAGCTTTTATTATGAGACTGCTGTTTCCTGGGTACCTTTCTGTTAGAGTTGCAACTTATCTACACATCTTTAAAAAAAAAAAAGATTTCTGTATTTTTATTTTGCGTATAAATGTTTTATCTTCCCGGGCGTGGTAGCTCACAACATTAATCCCAGCACTAAGGAAGCAGAGACATGCAGATCATGACTTCAAGACCAGCCTGGTCTACAAATCGAGCTCCAAGACAGCCACTGCTACAGAGAGAAATGCTGTCTCCAAGAGCCAAAACCAAACAAACAAGCAAACAAACATGTTTTTGCTTGCATGTGTGTATGTGCTAAGTGCTGGTGCCTGCAGACCCGGAAGAGGCGCTGGATCCTCTGGGACTGGAGGTGAAGTCAGTTATGAGCATCACGTGGGCCCTAGAAAATGAGCCTGGATCATCATGCTAGCAACACAGAACCACTTCTCCAGCCCCCAGCTACCTACTTTATAAGGAAGGAAGCAGGAAATGGATGAGACCCAAATACATTTGCAAACTATCCTAAAGTCACATAGTAAGAAAACAGCTATTCCTCATGGCACTGCTTTCTAACCCTATCTCCTGGGGAGGCAAAGGCAGGAAAGTCAACTTGGGACTTGCTTTAGCTGCAGAGCAAGTTTAAAAAGATAATATAAACCTTAAGCAAGAGAATTGAGAAAAATAGACACACCTAAGTAAAGAAGTGAGATACACCTGAGTGTGAGAACAGGCTCCTCACAGGAGAGTTGTGGAAAGTGAGATGCCCAGTGTGGGCTCAGCATCAGCCATGTGCGCCATTCTGGTGGGCCGGCCTCAAGTTACATTTCAAAAGGGTTCTAAGAAACTTCTTTCTTTTCTTTTTTTTTCTTTCTGTTTTTTGATAAAGTTGAGATTATAGGGAGTTTCTGGAGAAGCCTTGAACGGAGTTATAATCTGATAAAGTAAAGTTAGGAGCCACTAGGGTTTGCACATGGCATTTGCACAAGGGGTTTACAACATGTCTTTTTCCCATAAATAGGGCTTCTGGCAAGATGCCTAGAAAGTTATAGGTTTCCATCTGGGAAAGGAGAAAGGCTTTAAGTGGTTGTTAATTGTGCTAGCGTTCCTGCCTCTCTGCTGGTCAGATTCGGGGTGATTTTGCTCTTCACCTTGCTTAATTGTTTGTTTGTTTGTTTGTTTTTGAGCCAGTGCTGTGAAGTCCTGTTGTCCTGTTGCTTGCAGTGTAGACTGGACTGGCTTTGAACGCTTCTGCCTCCCAAGTGGTGGGATTACAGGCATGCGCCAACATAGTGGTGGCTGTCTGTTTTTTAATGCTTTTAAATTACATTTATGTATTTATCTATTTAGTGTGTGTAGGAGACAGGGGGTGGGGGCCATGGCAGGACACCTATATGGAGGTCAGAGGACAGTTTTGAGAATCTATGTGGAAACCAGGGCTCAAACCCAAGTCATCAGACTTGGCAGCAAGCACCATTGCCCACTATTCCATCTTGCCAGCCCTACTCTTTTTCTCTCTTTTTTTCTCTTCCTTCCTTCCTTCCTTCCTTCCTTCCTCCCTCCCTCCCTCCCTCCCTCCCTTCCTCCCTTCCTCCCTTCCTCCCTTCCCTGTAGAGAAGCTTGGGATGTAAATCAGTGGTAGAGAGCTTGCCTAGAGTGCACAAAGTCCTGGGGTTCTACCCCAGCACAACCAAAAAATTTAATAATAGTAACATAAAAAATTAAAGGACATAAACTGCTGTTTAACATTGAAGTTATGAAAGTCTGCCTCTAATTCATTCACTCATTTAGTATTCTCTCACCACCCCTATCACTCTGGGTAAAGCTGACGCCAGAATGAGTTAAATAAGGAGACCTTATTTCAAAAACCAGAAAAACTAAGCAGAACAAAAAGAGGCAGAGAGAAGCTCAGCAGAAAGTTCTTGCCTGGCCAGCCCTTATTTACGAGGGATTGATGGATTGCTGGGGAATACAGAGTTAATTAGCCGAGTAATTCACTGAATGAAAAAATGACATAAAAGGAGCACATGATTCTTGTAAAGCACGAAGAAGTTTGTATTGTAAATATAAGGGAAAAGCTGGCAGAGGGAAGAGCCCAGGCTGAACATGGCCGCCTGAGCAGGAGCAGAGAGAAGGGGGAGGGAGAACAAGAGAGGAGAGACAGGAACCAAAAGCAGCAGCCTGGGCCAAAAGGTTTGCTTAGTCAAAATGGCCAGGGGATCAGGTTGAGGGAAGAGAAGGCCCTAAAAGGAAAAGGAAAAGGTTTAGGGTAGATAGGCTGACCTGTGCAGGGAGGAGCCACAGGTAATAAATGAGGCTGGTCCTGGGTTTGAAACAGACAAAAGAGGCAACAACAACTGGGTGGGCAGTGGTGACACACGCCTTTAATCCCAGCACTCAGGAGGCAGAGGCAGGGGGATCTCTGAGTTCAAGGCTAGCTTGGTCTATAGAGTGAGTTGTAGGACAGCCAAGGCTATACAGAAACCCTTTCTCAAAAAACAAAATTAGAGGCAGCGACCTGGTGAAAGGGTGGGCAAGGAGAGTTGAGGCCCTTGCACAAGAGACAGAGTGGCAGGGTCTCTGAAGAGAGACATTAGAGCCCACTTGGGTACATGCAAGCCTGCAGCTAGGCTCTGACTCCCAGGCAGGCAGGAGTGGGGAACAGGAAGTGTGACCAGCACCTTACTTCCGGTCTGTACTGACGTCAGCACAGAGCTGGGTAGGACGGGCACCCGTCTAGCTCCTACCCTCCCCACAGAAAACACTGGTATATACACATTGTGTGTTGGTTTTGCCTAACTGTGGGTCACAGCTTGTGCCACAACAAGCCAGGTTCAGCCACCTATGGTGGTTAAGCCAAGTAAAAGAGCCAGAGTTAGTGTGAAAAGCAGGAGTGAAGAGATGGCTTAGCAGTCAAAAGTGCTCGCTGCTCTTCCACAGGGCCCAAGTTCAGTTCCCAACACCCACATTAGGCAACAAACAACCTCCTGTAACTAGCTCCAGGGGGTGTGATTCTCCACTTCTGGCCTTCATAGTCACTCTGCGCACATACACACTCACACAGGCACACAAATAATAATTACAAAAGTGAAAAGTTTATGCAATATGGCCACAGTGGGAAGAGAGACAGATATAGAAATACATATGTCCAGTCCTTCTTAGGGCCTGACTTGAGGAAAATGACCAAGGTGTGGTCCCACCCATCATTGGCCAAGCTCTCAAGTGTCTCCTACAAGGTCAAATTACAAGTTGTAAGTGGTGGTGGTAGTGAGGGTGGTCGTGGTTGTCTTCTTCTCCTCTCCTTCTTCCTCCTTCTCCTCCTCCTCTTCTTCTTCCTTCTTCCCCTCTTCTTCTTCCTCCTTCTTCTCTTCTTCCTCTTCTTTCTCTTCCTCCTTCTTCCCCTTATTCTTCCTCTTCCTTCTCTTCCTCTTCTTCCTCCTCCTTCTCCTCTTACTCTTCTTCTTCCTTCTCCTCTTCTTCCTCTTTCTCTTCCTCCTCTTCCTCCTCCTTGTTCTCTCATCCTCCTCCTGCTCCTTCTCATCCTCCTCTTCCTCCTCCTCCTCTTCTTCCTTCTCCTCCTCTTCTTCTTCCTCCTTCTCTTTCTCCCCTTCTCCTCTTCCTCCTCCTCTTTCTCCTCTTCTTCCTTCTCCCTTCTCCTCTTCCTTTTTCTTCTCCTTTTCCTCCTCCTTTTTTTTTTTCTGGGAAAATTCTTCCTCTAACTTCCTCCAAGACTTTAGCCTTCTCCAAGGAAAACATTCCTTGGGAAATGTCTTATTGTACTTCATTTTGAGACAGGGTTTCACTGTGTAGGTCTGACTAGCCTAGAACTCATTGTGTAGATAAAGCTGGCCTCAAACTCACAGAAATATGCCTGCCTCTGCTTCCCAAGTGCTGGGACTAAACAAGCATGTGCTGCCACACAGCTGCTCCTAGAACTCTTCATTTATTGTGTCCTTGTTTCAGTAGGGTGATCATTAAAGGGAAAGAGAGACTCAGGAGCCAGCTATACTGCATGTCTGCTAGAGTATAGATGCTGTTTCTGTTTGGCCCACAGGGATCACCTGCTCCCACAGTGGATTCCATTGCTAGCAGAATGTCCTGCTATCGTTCGAATGTATGAAGAGAGTGCACTCCTTCGAGACCACATGACTGTCAACTCCCTTATCCGAGTTCTGCAGACCATAAAGGATTTCACCATAGTCTTAGAAGGATCACTAATCAAAGGAGTAGATGTGTAAACCAGGCGACAGAAGCTCTTCATCCTCCCCTGACTTCCAAGCCCTCCTCAGCTTTGGGGACCTGTTTGGACTGCACTGATCATAGTGGGCCCTGCTGGGGCAATGCACTGGAAGCCCCAGTTTGAACAATCTCCACTCTGCAGACAAGGCAAAGTGCTGTATTGTAGTTCATTTGAACCCAAAATTTAGTATAAAATAGAGTATTTTCATGTGTTAGAAGTGTGTAAATATGCTATCTTTAAGAAATTATATTACTGTAATAAGATACTTTTCTTAGATTGAATATTCCCGTGACTTAAAATAAGTAGCTTAACAATGTTGGGGGTGGGAGAACGGTGCTAGTCAGGAAGAAGCCAGTTATTGTGTAAATAGTGCAACCCAGGCACTTCTCTTCCCTCCAGTAGAATGCTTTGTTTGGAAGCAGCCATTCCTCCTGGAGTTCTCATCCTGTGTGTCATGAATGTGCATAGCTCTTCATAATGTACAAAGTCCTCGTTGTATCTTTAAGTTATAAATCACTTAATGAGTCATTTTTCCAGTTTTGAGAAAAATTTTCAGATGGCATAAAGAAAAAAAAAATTAAAGTATTTTAAATACCAAATCACAGGGAGGCTTGGTGGCTCACACCTTAAATCCTAGCACTGGGAGGCAGAGGCAGGTGGATCTTTCAGAATTGCAGGCCAGACAGCTACATAGAAGATGCTGTGTGTTCGAGCACACAGGCACACACACATACCCAGAGAGTGCGCAAGCGAGCGTGCACACGTGTGCAAATACCAGATCCCAAGAGCTTGTCTAATTGGAAAGAACACAAGAAGCCCTGAGAAGCATGGAATTATAACATCTTTACTTTGGAAAGATTAACCTGGTTTATTACTGTTATTTGACAGTGCTTTGGAGATAATGAATTTTCTCGTATCAGCCATACACTCAGAATAAGTGCAAGAAGCAGTGTGACTTGGGACTTTAACTGAGCCATCCAAACCCTGTAACAGAGATAAACTGCCAGCTCTGTCTTTGTTAGATTCCAACCAACCGCTCTGCTGCCCATCCCCCCTCAGGAAACGGAAGGAATGTGGGAGGAGGAGGGGGTCTCTGTGTGATTTGGAATGCTTTTGTGAAAGTATTTGTTGACCATGATAATGCAAATAACAGAAGCAGAGAGAAAGAATGAAGGCTTTCTGGGTGTTTCAGGGAAATGTAAAGCTTTGGCCCAGAAACGTTAAAAGCTACTGCAGCAGGCTGAGGAGGCAAGTTGTTGAGACAATTTGGGAAGCCCTGAAGTTATAACTTTCTAGTTTGGTAGCTTGCTTAAGTTAAATAAGTATGTTAACAATTACAGAAGTCTTCATCTTCTGGTAAATAAGTGGCAGATCTATAATTAGGCACTGGCACCTTGTTAGTAGCAAGATCGCCCCAGAAGAGCTCCAGGTTTTATTCCCTGTTGTAGCTGAAAACCAGAGCCACAGGCTCTCAGGGTCCTGGCTCTTGCCAGCAGTGCTGTCTTCCTTATTTACTGGAGGAGGAAATTAAGAGATAGGTGCCTCAAGTGTCCTTGTCAGGAACTGTATAAAGCCAGGGAATAGCTCCTGGTAGTGTGAGGAAAAGGGTTCCTGAAGGTGCACTTAGGAAGGCTTAGAGCATGTTTCTAGATGACCTGGCTAAGCCAGAGATTTGTTTACGTAAAATACAAGTGTTTATAGAAGTCCGAGACTATCCAAGGGACAGCTCTCCTATGGGAAACATCCAGAAGCTGTATGTGCATGCTCCATACCAGGCTTTGTTGTCACTTTTCCCATAGGGCTGACCGCCGGACAGATCCACGCTGAATCTGCTGCAGCCTCTTCATGCTGTACATGGAAGTAGAACACTTAAGAATCAGAGACTCACTCTTGCTTCTCCCCCTGACAGCACAGGGTTTAGGCTTTATGCTTTTCACCACACTAGACTGCATAAAACCAACCTTCAAGACTTATTAGTATTTTCCTGTTGAATTTTTATTTGCCCGTGCGGATAAGAAGCAATATTCCTGCGATACTTAGTAAGGATTGGTATTTAAGTTAAATTGTCTTTTTTTGTTTTTGTTTGTGAAACAGGATCTCACTATAGCCTTGGCTGGCCTTGGAACTCATTTGTAGACCAGGCTGACCCGGAACTCACAGATCTACCTCCTTCTACCTCCTAAGTGAGGGGATTCAAGTGAGTGCTCTGCCCAGCACACTGTTCTTAACCTCTTAGACATTAGTTTGTTGTAAAAGTGGGAGCAGAGTTACATTCCAGCTTGGGTTTAAAACTTACTTAAAAAGTAATACCAAAAGCAAAAAAGTTACCTATAAGGTTTGTTCCACATGATAGCATTTGGATAGACTAGTGAAATAACTCATTAAAAATACCAAGCACTGTCTCAGAGGCTGCCCTTCTCCTTGGTACAGCATCTGCTCACACGGCGGGGCCTTGGTGGAGCTGCTTGACTGCCCCAGAAGCCCATTCTTGTGAATTTCCCATTGCTGATAAAGTTTAGCCTTACAGAATAAGTCTAATACGTAGAAACACCATAAAGACCTTAGGGTATGATAAATAAGGAAAACACTTCCACTGAGTTTGGGCTTACCTATTGCAAATGATCGAGAAGTCAGACTTCTTGTGTGCTCATAACAAACCGAACCCATACGAGAAATGCTCATCTCACAACGCTAGCGGACTCTTCCCAAGCTGGCTTTGTAGGGGCCTACAGCAGGCATCCTTCTTGCTGTGCTTCCCTATTCTTTTTCTTTTTAACTAGTCCAGTGCTTTAGAATCACCTCAGAGTAAATGATAGTCAAAACCACTTCTTTTTATGTGTTTGTCCAAATAAATTTAAAGCAAAATACCTGGGACCAAAATTAATATTCCCATAGTAAGGTTAAAACACCTTGTTTAAAAGTTAAATGTGCAAGGAGAGATGGCTGTGCAGTTAAGAGCACTGGCTGCTCTGGTGGAGGACGGAGGTTCAGCTGCCAGCACCCACACAGTAACAAAGCCCCCGGTTACCGCAGTTCCCGGGGATCTAATGCCCTCTTCTGACCTTCGTGGGCACCCAGCCTGGTGAACATATATACATGTAGGCAAAACACTCATAAAAGAAATATTTAATAATATTAAATATGCAGTGTCTGGTAGAGTGCTTATGTAGCATGTACAAAACCAATTTTGCTTGTCTATAGCAAGCAAAAATAAAATTGCCAAAATCTTAACCTCTTCAAAAGCTTATTCTTCAAGTATTTTTCTTAAGTACTAGACCTCTGATCGCAACCTTCATGTCACCGTCCTGGTGGCCTTACAGCAGTTTGCATATCAGGTGTGAAGACCTCCCCATGATTTATGAGGGTGCCTGGCACCGTACAGTGACTGGGCTTCTCCATGTGAAGTATGTGGAGTGAGAAAGTGGACTACCAGGAGCAAGGAAAGCCCCCTCCCCGACCCTATTTCACACTGGGAGTGAAAGTCTGACAGAGGAAACCTAAAATTGCAATGGTTGAAATTCATCTAAAATTCACTTTAAATGTTTTCTAGCTCTGTGGGATTTATTTAACATGACTTTAAGGAAAAAAATTTTTTGTGTGTGTTTTGGGTTTTTTTTTGTGTGTGTGTGTGTATTTTTTGGGGGTTGTTTTGTTTTGTTGAGACAGGGTTTCTCCGTGTAGCCTTGGCTGTCCTGGAACTCTGTAGACCAGGCTGGCCTCAAACTCAGAGAGTCCATCTGCTGCTGCCTCCTGAGTGCTGGCACTAAAGTTGTGTACCACCATGGCCCGGCTGAAGAAAATATTTTAATGAACTTCTAGAACACTGTATGAATAATACTCAGTTGCTTCTATTTCCTTTTCTGACAGTAAGCACATGTATAAATGTTATGAAAAATATCTAGCATGTGTCAGTATCTAAAATATGAGGCAGTACACAAAGACATCAAATCCCCAGGGAAATGTTATAACGGCATTGGGAATAGAGCTCTTTATAATGTGAAATATCTTCTAAGAACAATGGATTCTCGGTAGATTCTTCATTTAGGGAATTGTGAGTATTTTCTGAAGCTTGTCTACCTTTTTCATGGCGTTGAAAGGACATTCTGAACTTATATATTTCAGTATTAACACACCTTTATTGATTGACAGCAGTGCTCTCTTCTGCTTTGATAAATACTAGCTCCAAGCCTCTGTCTTTTTTTGTTTGGTTGGTTGGTTGGCTTCGTTTTAGTTTTGATTTCTTAAAGAAGAGTTTTTACATAGGCCTGGCTGTTGTGGATCCAACTCTGTGGACCAGGCTGGCCTTGAATTCATAGACGTCCACCTGCCCCTGCCTCCCCAGTCCTAGAATCAAAGGCGTGCACCACACCCGGCAAGCATCTGCACCTTTAGAAAAGCTTATGTCTCTACTTAGTATTAAAAAACATATCCAAATCTGCTGAATCTTAAACTGAATTTTAAACTTTTTAAAGAGGTGTGCTTTTGTAGTGTGATGGGAGGGATCTAAGAAGGGCTGGAGTGGAGCTCGGTGGTATATATGCTTCTCATAGACACAGGGTCCTGGGTCCAGCACCCCAGAAAAAGAGAGACAGGAAATCCAAGTATGATTGTACCTTCCCAAATCTGATTTCTCAAGGATAAGATAGAATCTGAGTTCAGGAGGACACACTGAGGTATTTGTGTTCATATCAGACTGAAAAAAAAAGTTCCAAATAAACTTCCCTCCTCTTTAAAAGTATTCTAGCATATCCTCAGCTAATTAGGAAGAAGCCATCCTTGGCCCAGGGCCTTCTGGGTTGGATCCAACATATATTTTAAACAAATCTTGATATGGATAGTAAGGAGTTTCTGTTGTCAGTCAAATGAAGGTGTTAAAAAAAATTATTAAGCTACACATGAGCCACATACAAAGATATCCTATGTTTGTTTTTGTTTTTAATTACTATTTCTGCATTTAAATTACACTGTTTTTCTTTGTATTATTAACAATGTATGTCAGAACTGGAACTTTCTCCCCCTCCGCATCTGAACATAATATAAAATCTGAAGAGTATTGTGATATTAAGCACTTTAACATATCAAACAAGCTGACATGACATGAATTTTTCAGGTTTTGGAGTACATTTAAATATGACTTTTCATGCTTTGTTCTTTACAAATAAAACTGTGGGGTTGATACTTTGTTTTTTTGTTTCATTATTGGTGGAGATTACTAAAAGTTTTGCAAGAGACTTAAAAGCAAGAGTTAAAACCAAAATCATTATTTAGAAAAGGAGGAAAGAAAATCCTGTTGAACATATAATTATCCGGTGAGGGTGGGAAAAGTGAACTCTACCTCACCCCATGCAGAAAAGACTATTCTTTTTGGAATTTGCGGTATTAAGGCCTTCAATTTAATTAGATGAGTTCTACCCATTTTGGGGAGGGTGGGATGCAGGGAACAGGGCCTTGCACATGCTAGGGAACCATTCTACCACTGAACTATACCTTCGCTCTTTAAATACTAATCTTGTTGGGCACAGGCCTTTAATCTCAGCACTTGCAAGGCCACATCTCTTGAGTTTGAGACCAGCCTAGTCTACGTAGTGAGTTCTAGGCTAGCCAAGACTACATAGCAAGACAACAAACAATCAACAACAACAAAAAACTTTCACCACAACATCTGGAATAATGTAGCCTGGCCCATCTAAGGTGATGCGTAAGATCAACTATTACAAACAAGAAAACATAATAGAGAATATTTGAGTAATAAGAGTCTCTAGGCCAGGTGCAACTGTGCACTTGTACAATTAATGTTCTCTCCGGCCACCTTTGGGATCTTGGAATTGAATGTAGGTTGTCAGGGCAAGTATCGTCTGACCCACTCACTGTCCACTCTTAGTATGTACTCATTCCATCATTTTGTTTTTTCTAGAGAGTCCTGACTCTGACTAAGTTCTTGGGATTCAAACTCTGATTGTCATACTTGCCTGGCAAGGACTTTATATACTGGGCCATTTCCCTAGACACCATAAATATGTTTTTGTTTTGTTTGAGACGGAGTTTCTCTGTGTAGCCTTGGCTGTCCTGGACTTGCTTTGTAGATTAGGCTGGCCTTAAACTCACAGAGATCTGCCTGCCTCTGCCTCTGCCTCTGCCTCTGCCTCCTGAGTGCACCACCACACCTGGCTATCAGTATGTTTTTTTGTTGTTGTTGTTGTTTTGTTTTTTTTAGAAAAGGTCTCCCCTCTGTGTAGCCCTGGCTGGCCTAGAACTTACTGTCACCAGGCTGGCATGGAATTCATGAAGATCTGCCAGCCTCCGCCTCTGTGCTGGGATTAAAGGTATGCACAGCTCGCTCTCGCTCAGTCCATTTCTTTTTAATATGCATGCTTGTTTTTGTATTGCAGCTTGTGATCATTCATATTGTCAACCTTAGAGCATCTAGATTCATCTGGAGATAGGCCTCTATGTATTCCATGGCTAGGGTCCTGTAAAAACAGAGAAAAGGAGCTGAAGAGCGGCACACATTCCACCCCTCTCTGTTCCTGACTGGGGAGGCCTTTTTACCAGCTGCTTCAAGCTTCCAACGCCCTGGACTGTGTCCTTGAACTGTGAGCCAGAAGAAAGCTTCTATTGTTTAAATTGTTTTTAATCGGTATTTTAGCACAACAACAGATAAACAAGTTAAGAATAGCTCAAAGACATGAAAAAACTGTCTCGTGTTGCACATGAGCCATATCACAGACACCCAGTTGTCCTGGAATATAACATTGGACCCTGGGTCCTCTTGCCACGCTAAGTACTGGAACTAGAGGTATGCACTCTAACACCTAGTTAATTTTTTTGTTATCACAAATGTTTAGTTTCTATTACTTACATTCCTTTTTAAAATATGTTGTATTTTACATGTATGGCTATCTTGCCTGTCTGTGTGTACCAGGTACCGACCTGGTGTCTGAAGAGGTCAAAAGAGGCCATCGGATCCCCTGCAGATGGAATTGTGGATGATTGTGAGCTGCTGTGTGGGTGCTGGGAACCAACCTGGTTCTTCTGCACACACAGCACATACATCATCATCCATCCAGTGGTTGGAAGTCCAGCTTCCAGGACTTCCGACTGAGATCCAAACTCTGCTGCTTGCACCAGCCAAGGTCCTCAAGCTCGCCATTCATCTTGCTCTGAAATTGGTCTTCTCGTTAGGGCCTAGGGAGGTGACTCACGTCATTGTGTACTGCAATTCATGGAAAAGATTCTGTCAGGTAGGCTAAGTGACCCAGGTGATAAAAGCAACACTGGCTTACTGAGATAATTCTAGCTGGGCAGTGGTGGCGCGTCTGTAATCCCAGCACTCAGGAGGCAGAGACAGGCAGATCTTTTAAATTTGAGGTCAGTCTACAGAGGAAGTGCCAGGACAACCGTGGCTACACAGAGAAACCCTGTCTCGAAATAATAAAGAATTCTAGGGGCTGGAAAAATGGCTCAGCAGTTAAGAGCACTGGTGGGTCCTCTAAAGGTCCTGAGTTCAATTCCCAGCAATCACATGGTGGCTCATAACCATCTGTAATGGGATCTGATTTCCTCTTGTAGTGTGCATGAAAACAGAACACTCATATACATAAAACAAATAAATCTTTAAAAAATAATTCTAGTCAGGTGTGGTGGCATGTGCCTTTAATCCCAGCACTGGAAAGGCAGAGGCAGGCAATTCTCTGTGAGCTTGAGGCCAGTCTGCTGTATAAAGCCCCGTCCAGGACAGCCAGGGCTCTGTTAAACAGAGAAACCCTGTCTTGAAAAACAAAAAAAGAAAGAAGGAAGGAAGGGAAGAAAGAATTCTAGCAATACCTGCACTTTGTAAATCTCCTATCTGTCTAAGCAACCAGACATACAGTCTCCTGTCTGTGTTTAAATTGTTTGAAGTGTAACCTGGAGCTGGGACCCAAAAGAGATTTAAGTCTTTGTAGAATGCACAAGCCTAAAGCTTATGTAAGTTAGTAAAATCTGTTGAATACCAATTCTTCCTTGGGCCTTAGCCCTAGTCGGCCAGGAGCTGTGGTAAAGAGCCTATTAGTTAGGGTTTAGTGGTGGAAGGAGTGGCTTAGTGGATCCATCTCCCAAAGATCACACCACACAACAGATTTCATGCAAGCAATTTGCTAAGTGGGGCAGGGACAGGGGACACAATACACAGAGTAAGAGAGTTGGCTTGATGATGGGGACCTTTTGAAGGGTACACATGGTGCCTTTGGCAGCTGGTGATGCTGTGGCTGCCGGGGCTGAGCCACTGAGGCAGTGATGCTAACAGTGACTTTGCTGAAAAGGCAAAGTCCGCAATGGGAAGATCTCAAAATCCCTCACAAAAAAAAAAAAAAAAAAATGCACATAGGTGTGTGTGTGTAAATACATACTTGTATACAATTTATAACACCCAACACTAAACTAGCTTCAAAATATATTTTAAATTTGCAGTTGACAGCTGGACAGTGGTGGCACGCGTCTTTAATCCCAGCACTCAGGAGGCAGAGGCAGGCAGGTCTCTGTGGGTTTGACGCCAGCCTGGTCTACAGAGTGAGTTCCAGGACAGTCAGCAATATACAGAGAAACCCTATCTTGAAAAACAAAAACAAAAAATTCATTTGACTTTTTGTTTATCAAATTTGGACGTCAAATCCAGGGTCTCCCTGACACTGGGCACATAACCTGTAAGGAGTTACAGCCCAACCCCCACTAATTCTTACTTTTTTTTTTTTAACATTTTGTGTGCGTACATGTGTAGGTCAGAGTACAGCTGTAGGGAGTTGGTTCTCTCCTTCCACCATGTGCTTTTTGAATGTCAGACTCAAGTTATTAGATTTGGTTACAAGTACCTTTACCCACAAAATCTTTGTTGCTGTTTTGTTTTGAGACAGGTCTTACTACGTAGCTCTAGCTGTTTTGGAACTCACTATGTAGGGCAGGCTGGCCTCGAACTCACAGAGATCCTGCTACCTCTACCTGAGTGCTGGGATTAAAGGAATGTGCCATCATGCCTGGCTTTACCCTTACTACTTGTTGGCCCTTAATTCTTTGTTTTTGAATGAAAAAAAAAAATAAAAAATAAAAAGGAAAGGACATAACTGTTCCTAGGTATGTAGAAAAGAAAGTTTCATTGTAAGTAAAAGGGAGAGCAGAGCCAAAGGCAGAGTCCAGAGTAGACATGATCAGACTAAGCTGAGAATGTGGGTAGAAGGGGAGGGAAGGGAGAGGGGCAAGAGGGGAGGCCAAAGGTACAAAGAGGATGGGTAAAGCCAAATGTCTACACAGCATAGGGAAAGCCTCTGCGGGAAGAGCAGAGTTTAGGGGAGACAGAGGTTGAGGTGTGCCAGCCATACCCTGTAGCAGGTAGGGACTGAGTGATGCTGGGAAAACCTGGAGGCCAGGTCAGCTTTGAGAGGTTAAGTTGGTGCCTCAGCTGCTTGTTTTGGGTTTCAGAGTCTTAAGAGCAAGAACCAAGCCTTGCTCTGTCAGCCAGGCTAGTCCAGATTACAATCATCCTGCTTCAGCCCTCCTACTGCCTACAAGTGTGTGAGCTGCACCTGGCTGAAGGACCCTTTTACATCACTGAGTTTAAAGAGCTCTAACCTCAAAGACTGCTTTAACCTTCAGAGCAGCCAACCCAGATGGTCATGAAGCTTTCTGGCCTGCTTCACTGCCAGGGGCCAAATTGAGCCCCAGAACTGAGCTCCTCTGAAGAGCAAACCGCACCCCCTCCTGCCCAGGGGTACACGTGGGTTTATTCTCTATCATGTGTGCAGGGTCTACCCCACACCCTCTGGGCAGCCAGGCACTGTGGAGGGCTCACAGGGGCTCTTTGACTAGGGTGGTTTTAGTATCCTTCACGCAAACCCTTCTAATCTCCCTGCTGAGGACCGACTTTTTTCCCACCTGGTAATCCAGAACTCCCAGCTATCAGAATGGCCTTGTCCCTGCAGTGGGAAGAGGGAGCAAGTGAGGTGCTACTTTGTGTTGCCCTGGGGAGACACCAGCCAGCTGGAAAGTGAAGGGCTCTGGCCCAGTGGCTGGCTCTGTCACTTCCCTGTGTTCCGTTAGAGGAACAGAAAGACAGGACTGGAGAAATGGCTTAGCAATTGAGAGTGCTGTGGGTCCTCTGATCCAGCGTTCCGTTCCCAGAACCCACAGCTGGTGGCTCGCAGTGACCAGGGCA